GACTAATCCATTTATTTCCACAAGGTCCATTGGGGTGGGTACGGGGGGGCCCTTGGTACTTTGCGTGTGTAACTTTCTCATCTTTGACTTTTTAACAAATTGTACAGCAAATTCCGTTTTCCCGAACTGTTTTACGTTAAACTGGTACTCTTGTTTCAAATCGTTATCATTAACGGTTTCTGAGAAAATCGCTCTTGAATAAATCCCACTTTGGTCAATTTCATAGTAATTTAAACAAAAAATAATAATAATAATTTTCCTTTCCTCTCTTTTCCATTTAAAGGATTAATTTTTACTTAATTTAATATTTTATTATTTTTTTATTAAAATTAGATTAAATTTAAACAATTTTTTTTTTAGATTAGACCAACTCCGTCTTTAGAAGATACATTTCTCGAATAAGTTCACGATGTCCAAGAGTATATTCTTTGGAATCAGAAAATTAAGAAGCATCAGATTTGTAGTCAGATGGCTCAAGGTCAAATATGGACTTAATGTTTTTTTTCTTCAGTTTTGTAGTTTGTATATGTTTTGAAATTTGATTAAAACTCAGGTAAAAAACTCAATGTTTTTTTATTTATACACAACTGATATCTTATTGTCTTGTTTCGTTTAATTATAAACATTTGTATCAATTTTTATTGTTTTAAATATACCTATTACATTGTTAATTTATACATGAGCTTGATTGATTTGAGATTTGAAAACATCCAGAATATAAAAGTTTGCTTAATCTACGTTATTTTCTTATTGAATTATGTTACTACTGAATTTTATTCCAAGAAAATATATCTAGAAATACCTGTTTTTATTTTGAGTGTCTTAAAATTTTTCCGTTTCTTCCATTTTTTGCCTAACGAAAAGAAAAACAGGATTTTTTTCTCAATTATTTGCTGTTTTTTTCCGGATATACCTACTAGCTTAAATTTTATTTTATTCCTTTATGTAATTTTTTATTTATATTTTGTATTTATATTTTGTTTTTGTAATTTTGGGCGGTATTAAATTTACTTTGTCGTCCGAATAAAAATGGGCTATAATATTATAGATTTCAAGCACAGTGCAATAGGGTCGTTTTCCGGTTTAGTTTATAGTTTTTTTCAGATTTTTTTTTATTTTCCATTATATTGTGCAAAAAGGGATATAAAATATAGTGTATTCAGGGTGATATCAAATTCTAAAACGAATTGTGTAAAATTGCTATTAATTTTTTTATATGTATAGTAACTGTCTAAAGATTTAACAACTTTTGAAACTGGGTGATTATAAAGTGACGTGTTTTTTTTTGTATTTTGTGTTTGTCTGCTCTTTTTTCAGTGTCATATTTTTGGTTAGGCAAAACTATTTTCATAAAATTAACCTTTCATTGATCCTTTTGTTTCATTAATTGTTTTAATTTTTTTCACAATTTGCAAAATCCCCAAAAAATAAAGAAAAAGAATTGATGGTATGCACATCAAAGCAAAATAAAAGAAAACAAATAAAAAAGATACAGTAAAACTGGAAAAACCTTTATTTTCGTAAAACAAATTTTACTCTAACTTCTCCAACAGGCCTTAAGACTAAGTCGGATTTGTACTTTATCTGTTGTGGTGTGTCTACAGCTTCTAATTTAAACTTTCTTAGTATACCACATAGCGCAGCCTTTATTTCCAAAATAGCAAATTTTTGACCTGGAAATATAATTTAATATTAGTATTGTGTAATAGACAAAAATTAGTAGAATTTTCAGATTCAATTTTTCAAAAATTATTGGATAGCAAAAACCGCATCCTCAAATCTTGATTCGTTTAAAGGAGAATTTTCTTTTGTGATGTGTGAGATTACATTAATTTGCTAAAATTGTTATCGAGATTTCTGTTCAGTTTTTTAATTTTGTAGAATGCAGGGTCGTAGGCGACGTTTTTCTACAAATTTCGATTTTTTAGTTACCAATTATTATTTTCGAATTGTTTAAAATTTCTTTCTAATCAATCAATTTTTTTTGTGATTTCAAAACAGTACTTAAAAAACAATTGAATGTAATTCATCTTTAGCCTCGACAAGTTGCTGATCTGTTCTTAAGATGAAGGTTAGGATACAATTTTTACAAACGAGTTAAAAAATATTAAGGTTAAGATAAAGACTGTATTAAGGTTACAGCTACGTTAGGATACGAAAGGTTTTTGACATTTAAACCTCCTATCATTAATTTTGATAACGCTAAGATTTAGGGATTTTAATTGATAGTACCAATCGTGCAATGTTGGTTGCCTAAGCTCAGCGGTTACGCGGCTTGTAGTCATTTATGAACGCTATGTATTTGTTTATTAACTAGTTACCAACCTATACAATTCCTAAATCCAGCGCTGAAGGGTAAATAAGCAAAGGGATGTCTCCTCGCAACATGTTCGGGTAAGAACCTGTCGGGATCGAACTTTTCCGGGTTTTCCCAGTGCTGAGTAGACCGGTGTAAGTCGTAGATGTAAATGTTAATGTCACATCCTTTGGGTATTATATAGCCGGTGTGTGTTTTGATATCTTCGCCAGCGACTCTCGCTATGAGAGGCACGCTCGGATACAATCTTAAGCATTCTTTAATACATCTCTCCATAAATTTCAATTCAGCAAGGTCGTTATACGTAGGCAATTTCCCGGAATGTCCGAGAACTTCTTCGATTTCTTCCAATATTTCTTTCTAATGGAAGAACGGGTTAAAATGGATGTTGTGTTAAATGGATGTTGTGTTAATTGCAGCATACACCATGATCCGATCTTTAACTAATGAAATAACTACTCTGCGGACTAATGCCCCTACTCTCAGATTATATCCGCAGAATCTAGAAAAGAGGGTCATTCGGCAGCAGAATAACCAGACATAGACCGATTTCGTATTTGTTAATCTTCATCAGTATACCATCTATCTACCGGCATTTTCTTGTTTCTTTTTTTTATATTTGCTAACGAATGCTTCTAGCTGTATACTAAATATTGAGCGTATGGTGGACAGGGCATATAATCCGCAGAGCAGCTTTTTGCTTTCATAATACTTATAGATTAGTAGGTCACTCTCTATCAGTATTACAAAGCAATGCTTTGTACCAGTACACATAGAGTAACAACGACAGTTAAGATATGACATATACTTTGTAGGTTATACTCATTATATTCCTCATATTTCTAAATTAATTGACTATTTTAATAGTAAAGAATCGAAAAACGTACTTGAATATTTTCTTCATTTGCAAGTGCCATCAGAGAAAAACATATTGCCATCGAAGTAGTATCGTGACCCTGAAATGTTATCAAAATGATTAATTATATGCATATTCAATAAAATACACTAATAGTCCAGTTACTCAGGGTTTTTACCTCCGAATTCTTTATAACTGAACCGATTGACGTGAAATTTTGACTGAATGTGGGGAATGCCTCAAGGAACAAAACTTATATAGTGCCGAAGTGTACTTTTGCCCTGGGGGTGGAAATTTTTACGCCTAAAATAACCACAGGAATCGATAGAGTAGTCAATTTTAAGTAACAAAGTTATATAAAGTTTTTTGGATAATCCAATACTTTCCGCGTAATTCGTCATTGAAAATATTGCCTTTTTACTGAAAAAGTGCTTGTTTTCGGACAGTTTTTTGCAAATAACTCTGAAACCATTGGATTTAACGAAAAAGTTGTAATGAACAAACCGAAAGGTAATAAAGAAACAAATCTAATGGCATTATTTGGTTTTCTCTAATTGCAATATAATCCGAGTTATGGATTTTTAGACATTATTATATGTCAGCTAAAAACTAAATTGGAACCAGTTAACGTTAAATAACGCCAAAACCATAAATATTAGGAAAAACTATTTGAACCTTTTTTAAAGTATTTTGAAAAACCTTTAAAATGAGCTGTTTTAAAAGTGTTTAGAATCAAAATTAACGGAAATATGATCGAAATAACTCGAGTCTCATTTTTTTAAAGAAAAAATTAATAAACAAATCAGTCTTTGGCCACAGAATTGAAATTAAATGCAATCCATTTATAGATTTCTTCATTTATGTTCTAAGAATATGTTCTGGGTCTGTGGCTCACTTACAAAGCATGATTTCGAAAAAAAACTTAATATTTGAAAATGTTAATCTTTCAAATTTTTTAAAAAAATCAATTTTTACGCTGTAACTTAAAAATTCAAGGGTGTACGAAAAAAATACAAGAGTAAAAAAATTTAGCTTTGTTCTTGGTGAAGATTTTGCTTTTTATTCCTTTAAAATTAATATTAATCGAGATATCGCCATTTTAAGTTATCATATGAATGAGAGAACGGCCCGTTTCGAGCCCTTTCAACCCTTCAAACTTAAAAATGAAGGGCTTAAAAAAGATCAACTCAACAGTTCACGTAGCCCTTACAATTCCCTGCAAAATGGGCCTTTGTGCGATTAAAAACCTTAAAAAGTAAGTTATCGTCAAAAAAATAAACACGAGTATAAGTGATAATTTCAGGAAAATTTAAGTCAAACAAGAATTTTGAACATTTAGATCTTTTTTGTATATATGTATTTAGTATGTGTATATTCGAAGAAACCAGTACTATACTATATTATAAACTATGTCATAATAAGGGAGTAAATGTTTATTTAATACGAATGCACATTTAAAATGTCTCTACTCTTTCAATAATATTTTTTCAGTTTATTTTCGAAAGAAGGGGTATTTTTCAAGGGTTGAAAAGTTGCAATCGATAAAAAAAATTTTTAGTGAAGAAATCAATTTTAATTTGATAAAAATGCATGATTAAAACGTTTCAAGTTGAAAAAAAATATTATATTATTTTCATCCAAAGGGGTGGTTTTTAAAGGTTTTTCTGGGTTGAAAATTTGGGATACATTAAGTTTCATGTTGGATAGTACATGAAATTACTCATACTGCACAAATAAAAAAGATTTGATTACATAAAATGCTTAAATTTGTATTTTTTCCAATAAGGGGTGGTTTTCACCGCTTAAGAACAAAAAGCACACTTAGCGCATATATAAGTTTTGAAGTGGGGGGTAAGATAAGCCTAATTCTAAATTTTGAGAAAAATCGATGCAGTTATAAAAAATTCGGAGATATTACTATATTTTCAGCTACAGTAACTGGGCTAATTTTAGGATCGCTTTTTCAAGTGCGAATTGTACTTCAACTTTAACAAATACGTATACAACTGTTACACGTAGTCTTTTTTTAAATACAATAAGTTTCTACATTGTGTGTGACTAGCAAAGTCGCTCCAAGATTTTTTATTTCTCGACCTAGAAAAATGCGGTTTGGTTTGTTTTACTATTTGTTCACAAAG